CAAAGTGATAAGTCAGAGAACATCAACTAGATATTCGCTCAGATCCAGCCTAAAAGATATGCTTGAGGTTCCAAGCGGCAAGATGCTCTCAACACTTGGGAGGTAGAGCATTCTGTTCTGCGGCCATGAAGCTCTAGAACAATCTGCTGAGCGATATATATATATATATATATATCTCTGTTTTACGGGTATTTAAAGCTACCTCAAGCTACACAGAAAGGAAAGAGGTCGAAAGAAGGATTTGAGGTCACACCTCAGAGATATTTCGGTATCTTACAATATGCTAGGAGACACAACCACTCATTTTCTTTAAAACAAGTCAGTCATGCAGTTATTGGTAGTTTGTTTAAGGCTCAAAATAAGCAAGATCCACATCTTAGAAAATCTTGTTCCACTTGAGGAAGTATTCGTTATTTGAGGGAGAGGAAGCTGGTGGATAGGAAAACTTATAGTTTGAATCCTTTTGCACCCCCTTTGATGAAGAAAAAACAAACAAGCAAACCTGTTATGCCCCCTTCCTATGAGAAACAGACAGAATTATCCCCCCCCAACCATCAACACCACTACATATATAATACGACACAGCCTTTAAATTAACAGATTTGTTACAGTCCTTTCAAGCTAAGCTTTTACAAAAACAATATATACATGTATAAGGACCGTTCATGATAAAATCACCCTTAGCATCACACCACATGCTCATTGCATTTGGGCAGGTTCACCCATTAAGAGGTATTTAATTTAACAGTTCACACTGAGACAAATCTAGGATTTCGATACATGGGAGGGATAAAGAATGAATGATTCCTGAAAGTGGGAGTATCTAGGGGATCTAGGGACATGCTCATCAGGAAAAGACTGAGGGACCCATAGAAAGTGAGCATATTAAGTGGGTTGAATCTAGAGAAACAATGAGCACATGAGCACTCTCTTAAAAGTTTATAGATTCAAACCATTCTATTCAGTATTGCTACCAGCAGATAAAATATACCGGTAATATTATTTTCAAAGCTCACATCTTCCAAGAAAGGAAAGTTGTATTGATGTCTTTCAAATCCATCAACAATTTGGCTTTTAATATTATATCAACAGTCTCCTGATAAAAGTTTATTAAAAAACAAGGCTTTTTTTTCAGACATGTTTTGCTGTCCATGTAGTGATTTTTGGATATAGGTCACTTTTGTCTTTTGCTTAGTTCGGTTTTCTAGACAATATGATGACCTATGATGCATACACGGACAAAGCAAAGGAAGACATGTAATATCTTTCATTTAAGCTTAAAGATAAAAGGGTTGTCCGCAGTGAACAGTATTCATAGCTCATGCCAGCTACCCTGGCTGGGATCACGTCTAAGCAAAATGAAGAAAAGAGAAAGCCTTCCGGCAACCAGGGTACTGTCCACCAGAATGAACGAGTCTAGAAAATTTGGTTGAGTGGACATCAAAGTCCTGCACGATTACAACAGACCTGCCAACTCTGACAATTCTGCGTGAACCTCATGATTTTTTACCTTTTCTCATGGCCTCATGACAAGATTGCCAGTCTCAAGGTTTTTTGGGAAACTGAAATTTTGTGGGGAATGCTAGTGCCTGTTTAAGCCTTGATGGCACCTTGCTGTAAGTTTCGCCCCTATTGACCTCTTCCCTAGCCTATTGTAGTCATCAAAGAAAAGGTGGTATCTTGTTACCAAAGTGACCACAAATAAATCAAAGTAATGTTTAAATAAACAGCTAATTCCCCCAATAGAAAAAGAGTTCATTTAATCTTGATCGGGAAAAATAAAGAATCTCACTACTTTTTGAAGAATGTCCAGATTTCCTTTCACGAGTCTTTATCAGGGGTTGGCAGGTCTATTGCAAAGCATGATTCATTGTAATCAATTTTCATACATTCGACAATCATTTAAGAATAATTTGCTACATGTAAAGAAAACGTTAAACAATTTTACGTCAATTTTCTAACTAGTACAGCTGAAAGGTATTGATCGTTTAAAAAGAGTCAAGTAAGGTTCACTTAACACCAACGGTGACAAGAAGCGACAATGAATGTATGGTGTAACCGACATGAATCCAGGACATGAATAACTCTGTTTACTAACCTTTTAACTCCCGAAGAGACGTCAACCCTCCAAGGCCTTCACCTTTGAGGTAATTTTTCTCTGTAATTCGCCCTTTGGGAAAGCATTTGACCAATATTTACTCAACAATCCCACCGTCGACCCTTTCAAACATGGCGGAAAGCAACAAGGCTGTCAGGTGACGTTTAAAAAGATTTGGCGGGAACTTTCTCCGAGTAGCTCCCAGTCCCAGTTGTGCGCAGTCAACTTTTTAGCTAGTTTTTCTCATATTTTTTAGTGGCTCTCAGAAGAAAAAATAAAAATAGTGATCAAGGGAATCTGTTATGATTCCCCGATCGACTGAGGCGCTAAAATTGAGCGGCCAAAATCCGGCTTATTCCCGGCCTATGGGGTATGGGATTTTTATTGATTAATCTTAATCCTGAAACTGGATCAAAATTATGAGACATTCTTGAAAAGAAAATGAAAATGAAATTTGTATATAGCTTGATCTTATGAAGGGAAATTAACCTTTTTTTTTCTCCGCTCGGTTTCACCATGCAACGAACTTCTTTTTTACCCCCCCTCCCCCCCCCCCCACTCCCCTAGATCTGCCACTGACATGGATGTTTAAAGTTTAGTCTCTTTCTTGTTAAGTTTTTTCTACGCATATTTCAAACTTCAGGAAATGACCACAAGTCAGCCCGTAACGCGGTCATTTAGCCGTGCGTAGGATTTTAAAATATTTTATAAAGGTGTTTAACTTGTTTTAAAACTTTACCCATGTCAACTCTTCAAAACGCAGTGGTGGTCTTTCAGAAAAACAAAAAACAATCAAAACCCAAGGGGCTTTTTAACATTTTCAGTCATATCAAGTTTTACAGTTCCACTCAATCCACAGGCAGGACTAGCGTTCTTAAAATACTCCAGCTTCTCCAAGTGTCAAATTAGTCGTAGTTATTATCAACGGAAGGAAACGGAGACACATTGTGCCGGTGTTTAAACTGTTGATTTAGTCTTCCGCTACCAAGGGTGTGGCAATTATAAAACCACGATCAGTTCAAACTCAAATTCCGTCAATTAAACATTTCCTGGGGGATCAAAGATAAGCCTTGAATTCTTCATCAGCTACTTTGACACTGTCTTTTTATAGCTTCTGTTGATAGTAGGTACTCAAGGTGTGTTCGCGTTTTTACACACTTCTGTATCTTTTGACCTCAATTTTTGATTACCCAACATTGTTATTAAAACTAAACCAGTCTTGTCAATCTGCTAATCTCCAGAACTGGATGTTCGCCAGAATACGTCAGCAAACGAACTATTGAGGGAATTACGGGGTAATGGGCTATTTCTTCAAATTCAATGAATACAGAAGGTTAAGGCATGACGATGTTGCGGTGAATGATAACCTTTCATGGCTTTGTATTTGGCTAAGTGATATACAAGCTGTTGAGTCAAAAGGGATCATCTTCTTTACAAATAAAGAAAGGTCGGGCTACTTAGCCACTGGCATCTTTCAATCATTTTTCTCATCAATTTCTGTTTTATTATGATTATATTATTATATTTTTCCTAGAATTTCTTGGAGTGACATAAATAAAGGCAACTTTGACTTTCTGTGCGATTTGCTTTTGATTAGGTAAAACGTCTTTTAAGACTTCTAGTACAAAAATCTGGGAAACTGCGCCAATTGGTCTCACTGTCTACTCTATAATAAGTTTAAGAAAGAATGGAAATACAGTATCTCTTGATCGATCAAACTTAATCTTACTACTCCATGTTTGATTTAATTTGAGTTTTTTTTTTCTGGTGCCATTTATTCGAAAGAGTGTCGCGGTGTCCACCTTGAAAGGGTTGGGCACTGCACTTTGGTCACCTAATGATTACTCATAATACTTTCTTTCCTTTCATCTTTAATATAACTTGTATAATTTTTAGCAACTACTATAATTTGCAGTCTGTCTACTTTGAATTGTATAAATGTCTTATGTATTGTAAATATTGAATTGAATTGAAGTTTACGCCCAGCGTGGAAACCGTACGATAATATTGGTTTATTGGGATGAAGTTATAATTACACAAACGAACAATGAAGCCTTTTTAGTCTAATCATGATCACCTTAGATTAACATGACTAAAAAAATAAATAAATAAATAAAGCAAAGCATAACAAGAGACAGGTTTATCTCAAAACACTTCTTGAAAATATCCCAAAACCATCAGAAAAACGTATCGATTACAATTTAAGCAAAGGCAAACACGATCTTTTAGCGTCTGAGGAAAATTGTTGTGAGAAGATTTCATTTAATAACCTCGCGTAGGTAAAAGAATTATTAGGGCTATTTTAGTGAAAGACGGGTCAGATGTAAAAACGTGGAAAGATTTTTCGTATCCAAACAATATATTATCGTGTATCGCTATTTAGCAGTCTCTAACAAGACAGTTATTGACAACCGAGAAGTCACGAAATCGGATAATTTATCACTTAAGTTATCAAATGTCAGAAAATTCCATCTGCGCCGATAGATACGAATTGAGAAGAAGGACAAAAATGTGATATGATTGGATCCCATAATTAGTAAAACTGAAGGACTAAAAATTCTTAGTTACGTTTGCCATATCAACAATGAAAATTCAAAATGAGCGACTAAACTTGACAGATCACTTTTAGAGGGTGAAGGAGAAAAACCTTGAAGATCTCTTTCATTGATTTGTAATCCTGTTATGTCTAGCACGTATTTAAATGTTTTCACATGATATAAAATAACCTATGAACAAGGAAACTGTGTTTTAAATATACTGAAATGATCAGGCATCGAAGCGATTCTAGAGAAAACGACGAGAAGACCACTGTTTATGACCTGTTAGCCACCGGCGTCAATAAGCTTTATAATTAAAATACTTTAATATGATCAAATTTAAAAAGTGAAAATTAGCTAACGTTCTAAGAAACTTGAAGCTGTTTTAAATGTTCCTCTGCCTTTGTTCTCAATCTTAAAATACTTGAGCTACGAAAGTTTTCAAACATCTCATCTTTTTGAGATAACATTGGCTTGCTGGAAACATGACTCTCCCGAAAGATCTGATACGCCGAACAGGTGTGTTTTGCCAATGGAACATAAAATGGCGCTAGCCTTGTGGACACTTCGCTTGATATTTCTTTTGCGTTTTCTTGGACATCAGCAGTTCTTTCTGGGCACGTGCTCTCCGAATTAGCAACTTTATACACAATAGAATTTGAAACCGCAGTCGTGCCACAAGAAGATTCATCCGAGCTGTCATTGTTCACCCTTTTTTGTTTTTCTCTGTTACTATCAAGAAGTTGTTCAATGCGAAAGCTTTGTCCCACATTTTCCGCAGACACAGTGGCCTTTCTTTCCGTTTGTGGTGGATCCTTCCGTGATAAAATGCTCTCAATACTGAAAGAATTCGATGGGAGAGATGACTCCTCATCGTTCTCCTCAGTCGCTGGCGAAGAGGCTTGAATTGTTTCTTTTTTATTTCTCCCTGAAGTCAATTCTCTGTCAAACACTTCAAGAAGCTTAAGTGTTACAGCCGTTTTTTCCACCTGACTTTTTTCTCTTCTGCCTGGTCTGGCCTTAGTTTTCTCTTCTCTTCGCAATTTTGCTCTCCTGTTTTGAAACCAGACCTAAAAAGTTCAAAAGATCCCATTTGAGCTCAATTCATTGCTGCAATAAATCATGACAAAAAAAATACAAGCCAGGAAATTAGTAGTTTCACGTTAAGAAAAAAATATTATTTGCTCATAAAAATTAACGGTGTGGAATGCAATTATTTATATATTTACATAACTGTAGCACGAAAAAGCTTAAGATACCCATGGAGGTTTTCAACGCGTTTTCTCATTTTTCCCGTACTAAAGAACTTCAGTTATAAAGAGGTTAACCACAGGAAAAAATGTCTATAATTATGTAAACTGGACTGAATTATCATGAGTCAATGAGAAAAGCCCCATCATTACCACTTGGGTTCAGCCGCTCAAGGCTGTCACGTCAGAGAGTTTGGGACTCTCGTTTCTACAGCGCATTAATCATAATAATAAAGTGATAGTGACCCTTCTCCGAGCAATTTATCAAGTTCTGACAAGCGCAAAGCTTCAAGGTTAAACTGAGGAAGTAATGTTGCTAAAAAGAGCTATTTGCCTGACACCATGACATTGAAAAACGACGTTTATCTGGCTATTCGAACTGTATTTGGAGTCACTGGTTTCGCCCGAGGAGGAAACTAGCTGTTTCAGTCATTAATTATGATTTAGTAACCTGATTTTCTCGACGTTCGACGTTCGAGAAAAATTTGGGAATTGCCAGTTACATTAATTATCACAGTGGTGTGGGTCCTTACTCAATTAGAGCTTCTAAGAGTTTGTGTTAGCACCGTTTAAAGGCATTAAAAGGGATGAAACCGTTTCCCTACAATGCCAAACATAAACATTCCTATGCAACCAAAGGCAATCCAGAAGCAAGCTTTAGCAGCATTTAACACAATTTACACTTAAATCGCTGTCGGAAAGTGATTTATTGATTAGCTGGGAATGTGGCAAAACGCGTGAAGAGGAGTTAAATTGTAATCTATCGCAACACGTATGTTGCCATAAATCACACCCTTGAGAACATTTCGAAAACAGATAATTCATCTCTACATTACAAATACTGATCTTCGCCTTTCGATCGTTTCGTGGTACGTTTTGAGCTTATACGTTAAAAAAGTGTGAGCAAAAACGAGACAAAATCTCTGCAAGAAGCCAGTCTCGGACGCTTTTAACGGAAGCCGATGGCGACTCTAGGTCGCCAATACAATTTTCACTTCTGCAACGTCGCAAATGGTCGATAACAGAGCGACATCTCAAAATGGCTTCCCATAGAATTCAACTCGACTGCAGCTTAGCGGAAACAAAGAATAGTTTTGTGGTAGAAAAATGTCTCTGGTTTGTAGAATAGAGGAATCATTTAATCCCCAATTGACAAACAATGGTTAGATACAACCGGCTAAAAAATTTAATTAGGTGTGTAAATCGCAAACTAACTCGGTTGGGTGTCTAACTCGGTTCGTGGCATATAGCGACCTTCTGTTTTGAAACTTTCTTTTGCTGCCTTTAAACACTCCTTAAAGAAAGTAAAAGACTGAAAGATATCTAAAATGTCGATTTCGTACAGTGTTCTAACAGAATAGTCTCTTTTTGTGTCCACACGAGACTTTGAAGTGTGCTCGAAAAAGAGTCTGTTAAGCTTCGTGTCGCTAGCGTGAAAACTACGGAATTCTTCGTGCAGAAGGTGTTAAAAAAAATTATCGGCTGGGCAGCTGTTGCAAATTGTATTCTACGAAGTTTGTACTACCACCAAAACCTATTCAGATCTTCATGCAGTGCCCAATTTACCGACCACGAAAGGAAAAATTAAAATTAAGGGCGCAGAGCACGAACGGGAAAGTTTCATGCTACAGTACGTAACACTTCCAGGACAGACAGACACAGATTTGTTCACTTGTAAGCAGTCACAACAATGTTCAACTGCGTTTCTAGTGAGATTCAAGTTGGATTTTCCTACCTGTACTCTTGATTCAAGTAAGTCGAGTTTCAGCGCAAGCGCCTCTCTGGTGAACACATCGGGGTATTGAGTTCGTTTGAAGACCTTCTCTAGTTCTCCAAGCTGCCAAGCGTCAAAGTTTGTTCGGCTTCTTCGCTTCTTTGGCAAGATAGGAATTTCTGTAGAAATAGCATGATATCAGGATATGAAAATGAGGTATAGGAAAATGTATTAAAAGTACGTTCGCGCGTGACAAGTATGTTAGCACATTCGTGGGCCAAGATTACAACAGCTAAGTACATAGAAAACAAGAGAACGAAGGGTTGTTTCAATTTGCCTACCTATAGCTTCAATGATTTCAACGTCGGAGTCCGAGTTCAAGTCTGCCAAACTTCCTAAAGTGACTGGAAAATGGAATAAATTTGCATCTGAACCACCGCTTGTCGCGTTCGGGTCGCGTAGACTCACTCGGGCTGCGTGCGCATAAGACCTGTCTTCAGACACCATAAGATTAAAGGAGGCAGGATAAAAATTCATAATCCCTTTCTCGGTCGAAGCAAGTGCTAAAATAGCTAGGCAGTTGCATCCGACGCGCGCATAAAAACAGCGCGTTTTTCCGTCAGAACTGGAGGATTAATTACGCTCCAAGCTTTAGGCGCCTTGTTAGGACAGCGCTGCGAGTTGTTAACAGAAACACTAGTCCATTGCGATTGGCAGGCAGACCGAGATGCCTAACAAGCCGTCAAGTCAGCTGTCCAATTATCTAATTACGTCTAAAGTAATTAGAGCTGATAAGAGTCTCCGTCCCGACGCCATAGCGATCACTCTTCACATCGGTGACCAGCGCCGCGCGGTACAATTGTCTCATTCGCGCGCTAATTGGTGATTGTTTGCGATTCGGGCTGTTTATGCTAAGCGCTTGGTCCTTGGGTAAACAATTTGTCGGGGTGTGATTACCATTACGCAGTGTGGAAAAGAGAGATTAAACTCTGTTTAGCTCTTTAGTGGTATAATACTAAATTTGACAATCCAAAGATTCAACTGAAAAACCTTTGATTGGTGTAATACGCATTTTATTGTAAGGAATTAGGATTTTGATAATATTAGTTATTGCTTGTAATGATGTGGCATTTCTGAACGCGCGAAAACCATAAATCAGGGGCTCCTTATCCTCTGTTTATCTCCGATTAAAGTAAATCTTTTTAGAAGACAAGTTTTAAGTGTTTTAATAAGTCTGCCTACTCGTGAAGTGTGAGCAAGCAGTCGTCAGTTAAGTCGTGCAGGAGGTTGTGAAGGCAGAAGTATACAAAACAACATCTGGGTTTCACAAACACTTGCACAATTAAATTAGTGGAATATTTTTCCTATCGCGAATTCAGATCTGAAAGATTTAAAAACTCAGACCACACACGCCCTGATAACATGTCAGTGGTTTCATCGACAAGAACTCTCTAATCGGGAAAAAAAAACCTTTCTGGGTCTTCTGGGGATCGTCAGAGCTCGTTAGCAAGTTTTCCTCAGGTTTTAATCAGCTTTGGTGCCTTTTTTAAAAAGCCTTCACAATGTAAAAGCAGAAGATAGAGAACAAGGGAAAATGGAATGTTATCACGTGCTACCGCGCTACTTAATTCCATCTGGATTGTTTTATTATTGTCAGCGAGAATAACAGAAGATCATCCATTCTTGATGCCAGGAAATTCAATTAGGCACTGCACCTGTTTTTGACTCGCTTTATTGAGACTTTTGGGGGACGATATATCTTCTAATCTGAGCAAAAGGTTCTCTACTATTAAAAAACAGAGATTCTTAAACCTGGTGAATCAGAGACCTGGGGGGTACCCCAGTCCCTATAATGGCTTATGCGTGGAGGCTCCATCCGAAATGGTATATGAAAGGGTATAAAGGATTTCATCAGTTGAATTGTGTGAAAGGGTAGTAGGGAAATCTGTTATTTCGGTCTGTAAAATGACTTGGAAGGACTACAGAAGAACTTAATGACTGTGAAAAGGTCGAGAAAATTTTCTGGTTTTAACGTTTTGTTAATTATTCACATTTAAAGGCAGTACAGTAGTTAAAAGAGATGCCAAAAGTTCTAAACTAGTTCTGAGAATGAGGTACAATTTGTCATTAGGAGGCATACGAAAGGAATACCCTTTTCTGACAAAAATAGTAAAAGGGGTAAGGGGTTGGACCCCAGGGTGGAGGTTCCCCGTAAAACTTTGTTGAGTACCCCCCTCTCCCCCCCCCCGATCAGAACTTCAGACCATTTCGCGTTATGCCTCAGAATAGGAGCCATTAGCACTCCTCCTCAGGCGCTTCATTCGGTTACATGAAACTAAAATGCCAAACTCGAAGCTCTTGCTGAAAGACTAAATGTCATGTACCGCTTTTTGTATTAAACGGCTCCTTTCGTTTAGTTTTTTTTCTTTTAAAAAAAAAAGCTTGATCTTTTTCGCCCGCGGTGTTTTGCTTTAAACTGTTACCCATTTTGGTCAAGCAAAGGGTTCCTTATCTTTACAAGGTTTTATAATCTAAAATTCTTTTTTGAATTCTTTTATCTTTTTACTCAGAATTCGCTCAAACTCACTCAAAACGACTCCAGTACCAAAGAATCGCTTTTTTCAATCATATGTTTTTCTTATTTAAATTTTTAATTTTGATAATTATAATTTTTTTTGCTTTTAATGCAATAGAAACGAATGAGACACGAAAGTGAGGTCAGATAGATGAGACCTCGAACTGTTTTGCGCTTAAAGTAAGCTATCTTTTCTCCCACCGCAATACTTCCAGAGACGTGTGAACCTACCGACCCTCATAAAAGTAGGTGCAAAAATTGTGACTTGACTCAAGGCCCCCGACTTCTCAATTTTACTTTGATTCCTTTTATCAGTAATCTGCTGCATTCAGAGATTACGGCGATGAAGGGAGATAGAGTACCGAGTATTAACAAGGTAATCCTTAGTTGGGTTCAGGTAGCTTAAGTAGATTAAATTAAATGGATATTCAGTATGCAGTCTTAACGTAAACTGCACTGTGTTCCTTACGGGTTGAAATGCTGTCATGGAGGTCGATTTTCTGTTGATTCATACCAGCTGGAATGGCACCCATCTCAAGCCCTGTTGTTTTAATGCAACAGTCAAAAGCCCTGCAAAACAAAGTTGATTTTATTAGTGCTGGCACACAGCCACACCCTGACTGTCTATTTAGTTATCTTAGAGTCAAGAGGTTATCTGGTGCTCGCTTGAAGTACACAGGCATTTTCAATTTGGGGGATTGTCTATGACTATAACAAGAAAAGCACGTCCCAAGTTAGACTTGTTTGTCAGTTGTAGATGGCAAACTCATAAATCTTGATGGGCACTATTCCACGCAATCAAAACCATACTTCGGTGTGGTTTTCCACGTTATAATCAATCCGCTTCCAGTTCGCCAATCGGTCCCATTTCGAACCCTCTAAGAATAACGTTTTCTATAAGCTGTAAAGAACTTAGTAGCATTCATTGGCCGAAAATATATCAGCCCTTTGCCTTAATGCTTGCCTTGCATTCAGTTTTGTTTTAATTCCCACTTTAAGCCTGGCTCTGGCACAGTCTCTACATTCGAGATCTAGCAAGAAAGACCAGTCGGTTTTATTCACGCATTAAGGTGGACCGCTGCATTCAAAAGTTTTTACATTGTCCATTGTTAGTGCCAACTGTAGCCCTACAAACCAAGAATCGCTTAGTGAGAACATGCAGTTTAAGGCTATAGACAAGAACTTTTCTTTAATTAACCCTACTTCTAATCCTTTTAAAGAAAATTTGAAGGGGGATCTCGTTCAACATCATTGCCATGGAGTTCGAATAAAATCCTCAAATTTCCTGATAAAGACTCAAGTCGGACCTGCTATATTTTACGACTTTAAAAAGATTGAACCCTTCCATATTCCGCTTACTATGCAAATAATTTCATGTAGTATGTTGCTATTCTCTTAAAATACTACATGATGTTATTTTAAAACATAAAAGTGTGTCTGAACCTTGGCATTTGTTTGGTGTTGTGTGTCTTGTTTTGACGGATACTTTTAGAGTTTTGAATGGTAAAAGTTATGCATGGAATGGTCTTACTCAATTCAACAAATTTTGCTGAAAAGAAATGTTATGATATCTGAAATCATCACGTGCAATCCATGCAAATTTGCAAGGCTGATTTACCGTTTTCTCTCCGGGAGATCGTACACCACTTGGGTCAAGTTTTGCGGGGCAAATTGTAAATTGTAAATGGAAAATAAGATCACCCGAATGAAAGCTTTTCACTAACACATTGCCACATGATATTATCTTCTGAAATGACGCGTGGGACTCCTGTGCCCTTAAACTTTAATTTTCAAGCCTCATGTGTTTTAATCTAAGTCGGGGAGAGTAGGGTTTAACGTATTTTGCAACCAGTTAAATGGTTGGCGAAGGCCATATATATGCAATGAGTAGATAAGCCTGATGATAAGCTTATTTTAGTGTTAGCAAGACAATTGAGTATATATGAGTGACTCAGCCTCAGGGACTCAAAGCGCAGAGGGTCGTCACAGAAAAACGCCCCTGGAAACCTAGTACGTTCAAAGATAGAGTCTAAGAAAATTCAGGTGATATGATTTTACTGCGATCAGGTCTTTCTTCCGTTTTTAAGTGGCTAAGCCTTAATTTGGTCTTTTTGCTATTCTTGTACACCGGCAATCATCCACTTTTTGTTGAAATTAAAAAAAAAACGAGAAAGAGTGATGTTGCAATAGACCCATGTAGAGACGAAAATTCTCCCCGCCATCTGGGTGAATGGCAGATAAGGTCATTCTTTCTTTCTTTCTTTGAAAAAAAAAAGGAAAAGCCAAATAACAGATCTTTCGCACAGTATTGGACAACCCTCATATTTCGAGCCGAGTACCCAACAAACACTTCCATTTATAGCAAATATTATCAGTAGTCTTGATATAGCTTGTACCTTAGCCAAGCCCATTAGGATGAGTCATACAGTGGAACGTCGGTATAACGAACCTCGTCTATAACGCAATCTAGTTAGCGAATAACTGATTTTGCCAGTCCCTTGGCCATTCATAATTTCGAGGTTCCATCGGTAGTGAAACTGCCAAGAGATTGCCTTAATTGATACTCGTGTTCATTTTCAAAAAGGTTTTTAAACCTCTCCTTCACACTTTTACACTTTGGACACCTCTGCAAAGCAAAGAAGGCCTGACTGTGCCTTAGTTTTAGATATCAGTGCATACTCACGCCGTAGATCGGACAAAAGGCAGTTCAGACTCGAGGAAAAGGAACGGTCGTGAAATAGCTGAATTACAACTTCAAATCAAGAAAAAAAAATCAAGACTTCGCTGCCTTGATTACTTAATCGTTCCGGTCCAGATTAATCGAAATATCGCTTGAAAAATCTTATCTATGATCGCGAAATTCAGTTCCGGTGTGACTAAACAACATCATTAGAACGGAAGCATTTTATAACCCGCAGACGAAGCCGTCATGACGAAGTAGCAAATTCACGTCAACAAGGAT